TGAGAAGGTGAAAAGATTTTTTTATTCCCCAAAATAAAAATGAATGCATCGAGCTCAGGTGTGCTGTGTGAATGATTTTTTTTTATAGAGCGCAAATAAGTACCCTAAAAAAGAAAGTAGAATGAGGCTTTACAAAAAAACTTGATTGGATATTCTGGATTGTTCTAGTCAACAGTTTTTACATAGCTTTTAATCAGGAAATCCTGCTTAACGCAACTCCACTAGCCTAAACATGAGTTCAACCGATGGTCTGATAGAGGATATAGGTAGAAAGGTCTCTCTACTTTATGCAACTGTTTTGTCCTTTTGTATCATGTAGACAAATATTTCAATTTCTCAAATTCAGGCTTTATATATATATAGATATATATATATAGATATATGAGGTGGGAGGTGTTTGTACCTAAACTGAAGCATTACAAATCTATCAAAAACAAATGTATTCTTTTAACACATTGTTGACAAAAATGGCAAAAACCTAAACACAGCCAAAGGCAAAATCACCCTGACTTGTCAAAACATAAATCACATTGTTTGTAATATAAGTCACATTTTGTGCCAGTTAGAAAATAACTGAGCGATCAGGCTGCTTTTTTAGAACCTCGTGTCTCTTGTGCTGACCCCGGCTTGCTTCACTAGCACAGTTGTGTTGGCCCGCATCGTGCGCATGTCCCCCAGGAATTAAACTAATTAAGACTCTTAAGGTGTTAATGGTATATGCATTTAAATCATCGAGAGAAATGCCAATAGATCTGCGATCGAGATCAACCACAAACAACAGCACCCTTGCACCGTCTGATGCACACGATTGCTCCATCTTACTTGGGGTTCTGATTACTGTCCTTCCTGCCCTGTTTCAATAGCCATTTCATTCTGTTTAGGAATCATTGTAAATTGAATATATTTGAGTTTGAAGTCCCCACTTGGCCGTAAGATTCAGTTCAGTTGAAAAATAAGGAATTGACCGAGTAATTTATAATGAAAATATTATAAGTTGCAGCCTAACAAGGATTTCATTCTCAGGGGGAATTCTTAGAAATCATCACCTGTTTTCTTTGAGAATCGGCCAGGAAATGAATTGTAAAGAGGAATTAAGTTCAACTGTGTGAATCAAAATATTGTAAATATCATTTGCTGCTAGGCTTTGACTGGAGTCCAATCACAGGACACATGTCAAGACATCTTTAGTCCTTAAAACGAAGACTTTATTAGACTCTAAAAAATCCTCCTTTAGCTGAACTCTTTGTCCGTTTGTCTGTCTGCGCCCCGTGCCTTCCCCGCAGTCTGGCCCAGATCCTGCTCAAATTGGATTTTAAACCATTAGTGTCCCAACTCGAAGCATATGTTCCAAGTTGCTGAGCATTTCATTTCACGAAACGACGATGAGGGGGATGAGGGAGAAAGAAAAAAACACACAGACGGCGCAGAAAAAATAAACCAGACCCAAAACAGGGCTGGATTGAGTCTGACGCTCAATGACAGACAGAGAGACGTCCCATGCTCTGGAGAAAGCCCACTTTGAGTCCGGGGGTCACGTTACTGTGTGTGTGTGTGTGTGTGTGTGTGTGTGTGTGTGTGTGTGTGTGTGTGTGTGTGTGTGTGTGTGTGTGTGTGAACGCTCCACAAGCATGTTATCATATGCAGTTCAGAGAGCGGTACCTTTCACACCACATAAAAGAAGCTGCTGTACTCCATCACAGAAATCTAAATATTCTGTCTGGGGGGGGGGGGGGATCAGAGCAGGAGTTGTATTTCAAATGGCGGGCAACCCCCTCACTTTTTTTTTCCTCCCTCTCTTTGCTGTCAGAGAAGCAACAACTTTATTTATGTCTAAATACTGTGGATGCAGTGACCGAGAACCCCTAAGCAAGTCGGATCATTATCTCTCAAAATCTAAACAAGCCTTTATTTTCCCAGAACAGAGCGCGTATTCTAGAAGCACTTAAACATAGTGGGGGGATGGGCTTATGGTCGTGTGTGTGTGTGTACGTGATCCGGGGTTCCCAGTCTGAGTTTAAGAATGGCAGGGTAAAACACTGCAGGCTCTGTGGAAGCCAGGAAACAGCCTAATGTATTTATCCAAACACATATCTGCTGAGAGGCCCCATGGCTTCAACACATCCCCTTCCTTCACTTTCAAAAGCCACCGCAGCGAAAATGGAAAAAAAACAGCAGGGCTTCACAAAAAATGATTGTAGTGATTATTAGGATAAACCTTGTGATTATTTATTCCAAGTTTTAGGAATTTTAACTGCTTTTCTGTCCCGACCTCTACACTGTCACTGTGACATTTTCCGACGCAGTATTTTTCAGACCAGCTGAACAAATATAGTTTTCACTTCAGCTGCCTTTTAGTATACAGCTACTTATCATTTTAAAAATATCATCCACAATGTGTTCCTCTTTGACGTCCTCTAGAATAAAACTCAACTGTGTCTGGATGACTAATGTTTTCAGGTGGATTCATTCTTTTTCGCACTTTGCTGGTTTCTGTCTTTTCATAGAAAGACATTCGTTATCCCTTTGTATGCTATACAAGAGGTGAAGGAACTAGTAGAACACTGTACACTAAAAGGCTGAGATGAACCACATGTGAGACTTTCCGTGGAACAGAAACAACATCTGTCAATCAAATTAACAATATAATTATAAATCCAAAAAGAAACAGTCAAATGTAGTCAAACTAAACCTTGCAGAGGTAATCCTATTATGTTTAAGAGCTATTGTTTGTAATATCTATTTGTCTTGAGGACAAAATGAAATAAGGAAGCCTATACAAGCTGCTGTTTGTTCTGGTGAATCCTGTGCTGTCTGCCGTCTGTTAACCTTTTATATTGAAGCAATAAGCCTGATTTATTTCCGCCTCCTTCAACTATTAAAATGGACTGACGCAACACAAACTGAGAGGTGACCTCGTCTCCTTTTACACAATCAAGGCACCAACGCTGGCTGTGCTGGCAGCCGTGCTCACAGCTGAGGAATCACTGCCAACCGTGAGAGGAAGGTAAGCGTGCCATTCATCTATTTACAAAAAGCCAGAATGTGACTATCCTCCCTAAAGCAATCCTGTTTACATGAACGTGATTAATCAGAGAGACTTGTGGGAATCTGAGTCTTTGAGGTAAACAAAAAAACTTGTTTTCCAGATGTTCCAAAAACGTGAAAGAGTGCTCTTCAGTCTGTACAGATTGTACACAGCTGCCCCAAGTCTTCTTCTGGATTTGTATTTCTTTTAGATGACACTTTCTTTTCCACCTCAACACAATGATCTGAGAACACATGCAAGCTGTCCCGGAGAAAGGACGGACCGACTGTCTCCTACCTGATGGCTTGTTCTAACTTTAGCCTGATCAGAGACTGCCATTGCAGGTCTCCCTTGAAAAAGAGATTGTTGATCTCAATGGGAGTTTCACCTGGTTAAATAAAGGCTACAAACAAACAATATAGTCAAATAAATACATATATTTGTACAAACTGCTAATGTTTTCTGGAAGGACATAAGGATGTCCAGAGCAAATAATAGAAGGCAAATGGTTGTTTAACAGTGATCAATTATAAATGTGTGTTTTTAACCAGACTTGACAATCAGCACATGAAAACAAGCTTTAAGAGATTTTATCACAATATATGTCAGGCTCAAATATTTACATAACTGCTCAATCTGTCAGTTATGTCATTATTGCATGTCAAGTGTTTGACATTCCAAAGCTTAACACTTACGTCAAGTTGTTTTGAGGAGTAAAAGCCTACCAACACGTTTCATATTAAACATATTCATTCTCCCTTATATGTGGCTCCCGTCATTTACAAAATGACAAAAAGATATTTAAAAAAAAAAAGGAATATGTCAGCTTTACCCCAGAAGAAAAAATGCAACAAAAAAAGCCTTAAATCGAACCAATACTCAACAAATCTATTATCATGACAGTGAAAACAGCAGGTCACTTCCTGTCTATGCTGCACCTTCACTTTTTACACAACACGCTCAGAGAACAGCACATATCTCAAGCTCACACTGTGCACGTAACCCCACAACCAACAGCATCTCCAAATGATCCGCAGTGTATATGAGTGTGTGTGTGTGTGTGTGTGTGTGTGCGTGTGGTGAGGGCCGACGGGTCACAGCACTCTGACCCACTAATGAGAGGCAGAGCATAACCACATCAGACAAGAGCCACGCTAAGTAACTGGTCTGATAAATAAATAAAAAGAGCGCCCTAATGCGGACAAAGCGCTCATGCACCACAGTGACAACATGGCACAAATGATAACCGTCTCACAGGGAGCAGCGGCGAGCCGTCTGCAATGCACGACAGAAAAGCTTTAAATCAAATCTGAGTGTGAACCATGAGGAGCATTAAGTCTTCAGTGTGAGATTGTTTTTTAAAGTGATCTCTAGCTTTCAAACAATACATTTCACCTTCCACACACACACACTTTTTAACCAGTAATATCCAATTGCCTCAAACGTAACACAGTACAGTTTGTGGTCTCTTTCTGTTTTCAAAGTTTGTCCTCGATGGCCACCGTACACTTTGAGCTTGAGCCAATTAATTCAAAGAATAAACAAAGACTCTGCATCAAACAGGCTCCTGATTGGCTTCCTGTTGCAACTCAAAATATCTACATGTCTGCTGTTGTTATGGCCACAGTCTCTTTATTACATCTTCCAAAATATGTTTAAAATGTCAGACAAACTCAGCCTAACTACCAAAACATAAAATGTGAAATGAAACAACGGCCTGGAAATATGTATGTTTGAAAGACACAGATCATACATTTGTCAATTTTAGTCTAAAGTATATATTAAAAAAAATTCACAGAAAAAAGATATTCATATCTTTTTTTATTCTGCATTCAGGTGTTCGTGTGTGTGTGTGTGTGTGTGTGTGTGTGTGTGTGTGTGTGTGTGTGTGTGTGTGTGTGTGTGTGTGTGTGTGTGTGTGTGTGTGTGTGTGTGTGTGTGTGTGTGTGTGTGTGTGTGTGTGTGTGACACTTACATGTGGACATGTGGAGGTTGGAAGCGGCTCTGGTTGATGTTGTAGTGTGTGAAGGCCTGTGTGGGGTTGGAGCTGTACTCGTCCACCGTGATGGTCACTTTGCCATGAGCCATCCTTCCGCCGTTTGGACATGAGACGCCGTTCGTTCACCGGGATTCAGCAGCGAGCCGTGCAGCAGTCATCCTTCAGGGCCGCTCAAAAAGCCCAGGAAGTGTCCCAGCAGCGACCCAGCCGACCACGACACACTGCAGTCTGCACCGACAGGAGAAAAGAGACACACGCACACACATCAGCTGCTTTAAACACAATCACCTACATCTGATTGGCCTTGGTCTTTCACATAAGAAGAAACTGAAAACCTATAGGATTTAAATGATACACGTTTGTACTGTTCAGAAAATGAAAGAGGCAAAAACAGGTGGATTTAAATGAGTACAAACAGTCAGAGCACACATGAAGTGAGGAGGGGATCTGTGTCTACTCTAAACGTATGATCACTCAATATTACATGATGCAAGTACAGTTTTCTTGAGGGCACACAAAGAAACAGATTTTCTTTTTTGCTGTGTCACTTTTTGAATTTGAAAAAAAACATAATTCCTATAACTGTTTATCAAAGCATTCCCCACAGAATCCAAATTACAAAAACTGCAGCGAGCCAACTCAAATATAAAACTTAGATGTATTCTATCTTTCTAAACTAAACACTGGACGGTTTAGGTGGCAATTTACAATCTGGAAGGCAGGTTTTTAATCACCGCTCCGGCTCTGCTGCTCATAAGCAAGCTGGTTTTAATGCAAACTCATATATTCACATGTAGAAATAACTGCAGGCATGGCCTCTAAGGTTTTACCCTGTTGAAATTAAACCAAGCACAAAAAGGTTGCAAGTATAAATCTCTGCTGGTGATCAAATATTAAGCAGACTTAAATAAAACAAGAGGTTGTTTACAATGCATGCACAAAACAGATTTAACATTACCCCAAAACATGCAAAAATACATTTCTGCTTTCCCCCCCAGGCCTGAAGTAACTACAGTCTACCTGGCAGCTGAACTGCTCTAGTGTGTGCTTAACCGTACAATAAAGCACACTTTCACAGCTTCAATTATTTAAGGAAAAGCATCTAAAAGAAACTGCACAACAAGTGTGGTGTTTGCATGTTCAGAGCTCACTCACCGCGCTTCGCTGTGTCTCCTGCAACCCTGAGCTTCCCTCCTGCCTGACCTCCCTGACTGACAGTAAAGTGGCCACTGTGGGCTTGACAGGCTTTTTATACCAGACCTACCGATGCAGCCCGAAAGAGAAAAAAAAATTACCCTCAATTCAAAAACGTATATTTTTGAGAGGTAATCAGCAGCTCCGCAGTTCATTTGTCGGTCATTACATCCTCTGATGCAGTGGCGAGTAAACGAATACAAAAGCCTGTGACCTCCAGTTGTTGAATATATTAAAGCAATCAAAACCCCAATTTAAATTTAAAAAATCCTATTTTCACGAAAGCACAGATTTATGTTTTCTGGGTCAGCTAGACTTTCTTTGATATGTGCTATGAATTTAAGTCATAATATATATGCCAACAAAAAGGAGGCTAAACTCAATTCTTGCAAATAAAATATCTTTACATTGCAAAGTTAAAATGATATTTCCAATCAATTTTATCGTTGCTGCTGCATAAGAAATTGATCTCCTCTGATCTTCTTGGGCCTTCAAAAATCACTTTAATTAAAAGATACCATGCACACACTTCACCTCAGTAATCATTTCTACCAATGCAAAATACAAAAGTACTACTGCTTCTTGGGAAATGTGCTCTTTGTTTGCAAGTGCAGGTCGATTTGAGCAGCAGCATACTTCACGGTCTCCTCGCCGAGTGCAGTCGGTGTGTGTGTCTATTCGTGTGTGTGTGTGTGTGTGTGTGTGTGTGTGTGTGTGTGTGTGTGTTAAACTCGCATGTCTGTCTCTACCTTGTGGCTACAGTAGCAGCAACTAGCTCCGTAGCTTAGCCTGCTAAACCTGCCCTGGCAGTGGATATTTTTTATTATGCAGACTGTAGCTTCGCACTGAGCTGCTTTGCTATAACGGCGGTGCACACACACATTGTCAGTCCTGTCTTTGAACATACAGAGCCCCCCTCCTTCAACGCGCAGCATATAGCTAACTTCACCAGCTTCACTCCGGGAAGCAGAGAGAGGGTAAAAGGCGAATAAATTGACCCTTTCTGATACCATACATATACACAACGTGTGCTATGCGCCTCTTGCAGAAATGCACACAAAAAGAAATGAGGTCCGTGCAATCGTGAACTCTGCTCCCGGGATAATAAAAGCACCCAAAGGTGGTCAGTGTCACTGCACCGCCGCGCTAACCTCTTGCTCGTCCTCGTAAATGACAAGCCACCTTTTAACCAACGGCTTTGTGTCAGGAATTTCTTTTTTTCTCCTCGTCTCCCTCTCTCTCTCTCCCCCTTTCCCTCCCTCTTCGGTTCTCAAAGCAAAGCGGAAAGGTTTCTCTACCTTCGTGTGGGTTATTTGTGCGGGTTTTATCTGGCCGGAGAAAGAGTGTCGGGTCGGGGTCGCCCTCTACGCGGCGGCGGCGGAGGGACGCGGGTCCATGCGGCAGCGGCGGGAGAGCAGGGAGGATGTGAGCTGCCGTCCGGGGGTTGCGGCAGTCTGGGCGGATAGGGCAGAACCTTCGACCCGGCGAGACCTCGGCTGGCTCCTGTGGAAAGAAACCAGACAAGAGAGCGAAGGGGAGAGAGGAGGAGAGACACTGACAGACAGCGGAGAGAGAGAAGTGTGACGGAGGGGGAGTGCAGTGAGTCGGAGCTGCCACTGGGGTCAGAGAGCATAGAGAGCAGGAGCGAGCACAACCCCCCGCCACCTCCCGTGCGCGCGCCCTCACAGGGCGGGCACACGCGCGGCGAGGCTCGAGAGCGAGGGGGGCGGAGGAAGAGAGCGCTCGCGCACTCCCGCTCTGACTCTGTGCTGCATTCACTTGCCGTCGGAAATTGCAATTGTATGCTGAGATCCACTTGACACACAGCAGCGCAATACAGTCTCTGGGTAAATAAAGCAAAAATGCTTATTTATTCATATGTTTCCAATCTTATAATTGCATATACAGGCTTGACGAGGCAGAGTGGTCATCTAGTATTCAGAAGGTTTCTGTTTCTCCAGAGAATACAAAAGTGTTCTTAAGCAGACACTGAAAGTCTAACCTCACCTGGTGGCATGCAGCCTATGCCATCAGTATGTATGAATGAGGATGTATTGGCTATAACTAATAAGTCATTTGGTTTATAATTAGTTATTTAATGTATTTTTGAAGGAGGCAAACATGATTATGTAGGCCTACAATTTAGTTGACATATTTTATCTTTTATTAAATGTAAAGTTTCACTTACTAATTTATAACTTATAAGGTATAGCCTTTATAAAAGGGTGCCAACAAATAAAGTGATACCAAATCACTTAACATCTTCAACTAGCCTGACTGTGTTTGGATAAATGTTGAGTTCTCAAACGTGGTGAAAATCCTTTTAACATCCACCAGTGTGATTACTTTTATCATGCTGTGTAGACGATGAGAGCAGAAACATTCAACCAGGCTCCTTTATCGGCTGTTTACCCTCAGTGTCTTATGTTGCCCTGTAGAAAGGTTTTAGTGGTAGTTTTACTTCAGGCTGTGAGTGATCATGATATGACATATTAAGAAGGTTATTGATTTTCCCCAATGAAATCTTATGCAGTATTCAATATTGTGGTTGCTGCACCTTGAACTCAGCATACAATGTCTCGTTTGTAAAACCAGCACATGCTGAAACAAATTGATTTTTTTGGTCATGATGGACCCTGACGGTGAAATCTTGATAAATTAGAGGGATTTTTAAATTGGGCTTATTGAAATAATCGGTGTGACTGTCAACTAATACACAAATTCCCATACTGAAATATGGTACATTAATTCAGAGCAAATGTTGACTTGGAATAATTTGACACTTCAGATCATCACATATGTGTGGGAAAACGATGCCAGAATGTAGACGGTGTTGTAAAATCTATGATTAGAACAAGGCCCCTTTGGGTTCACAAGTAAACAATGCTAATGAGTACCTGTGGGAATCCTCCACACAACCTCAAATGGGAAAGCACAGTTTCAAAACTGGGAAAACTTCAACTTGGATGACTGAATGTAAAAACGGCATTCTGATCATCAGGGTTTATCTACCTGACTATCAATTCACTAACTAAAAATGTACTTTACTTGTGGATATTTTGTCTCACAAGTTTTTAAACGTACCGTACTGTACTGCTCCTACTAGACTCCTGGTACTAGGATGGGTTAAAAGCAGAGAACAAATGTCACTGTGTGCTGTGTGCTCTGCATGTGTGACCATTAAAGAGGGTTTCATCCGGCCCAATTATATTATATTCTATTTGCTGCAATGAACAAACCTAAAGAGTGTTTTTCTTTATACTAATTCCGAGCCTCCTAAAAAAAGTAAAATGGGAGCAACCAAAGTTTTTAAAAAGGTCAAATCCACTTATCCAGACTTCATGAAGAAGCAGTTGTTTGACATCACACAACAATGGAAGTGAATTTATGCACAATGTAAAGTATACTTTTCAGTATATCTGCATTTCAATTGAAGTCAATATATGTTCCCAATGTTATTAGATAAGTGGTTACACAATCTCTGAAAATGATGTTCTCTGCACAAAAGTTAGTTGGAGAATGTTAAAAATGCCATTACAAATGTGCCATTGCTTGGGGTTCAATTGTCTGCCAAAGAAACATCAGTTGCTCATGGTCACAGCCATGGATTTTGTTTAAGATTGGCCTTGTGCACCTGGAAGGCTTGGAGGTCAGAAGTTGGAATTTCAACTCAAAAAAGTATGCCCTCCGAGTTGTCTGAAATGCAGAATACGCTGAAAAGGTTGCTCGCTAGTTTTCTGACCTTTCTACTGCTAAGACCTTTCGGCTTCAGATCTTCTCTTGTGGGAACCTTACTGTGCTATTGATGTTGCATTTGAGAAAGTCAGCAAACAGCCTTACTTTTATCCATGATTGTAGGCACGGTATCTCGATAACTACTGGATGGATTGCCTTGCAAATGTGTAAAGAAATACATAATCCTCATGGTCTTCAACAATAATGTGATCTAGGATGTTTACCGAAGTAGTTGAATTCACAACGCTAACCACATGTTGACTGCGACTGTAGTGAAGTTCGACACACAGTGCTCCCAGGGCAAAAGGAAATGAACCCGCGGCTCCCGACCAAATGTCCGTATTGGGAAAAAGAATTGGTTTTAAGAAGAAAGTGCATATACTTCCAAAAATGATCAGAATGTTTGGTATCATGATTGTCATCGGAATTAATGACACATCATATATCTACAGCACATTCACAACAGTATTCCACATTGTGCATCACATATCTGCAATGAATAAAAACAACTTTGATCTAAAGAATGCACATGAGGACTGAGATAGAATTAGCTTCTTCTGAGGCCAACATGTGTGCCATTTATATTTTTAATGATACAACTTTAACTCATGGTGTCCAGCTTTCATGTTTCATTATTTCTCTGTGACAAAAAGCTTCAAAGCTTCAGTTTAATTAATTTACCTTCAGTTTTACTCTTGGTTAGCTTCTGTCCTTCAATACAATGAGCCCTGCAAATGGAGCACCGTTTAAGAGCATTACATCTAATTGAAGTGAAGAGAGTAGTGCGGTAACATCTTAGAGTAGCATCAAAGTGCTAATTATTATAGGGAAGTAATAAAGTACAATTGGGAAACTGTCTTTTTTTGGTCGGCAGTTCTTTATTGGAATGATTCCAGGAAAGATAACTCACTGTAAAAATCAATGTAATCTTGGATTAACTGTTTACGGACTAACTTTAAATAATAAATGAGGATTTAAATGCTGTTGCTCTTTAACTTTGCTGAGTAATACCTTTTTATTAAATATCCCCTAATGCATTCCTTTGGGATAAAACAGGAAAACAAATGTGATATATCCTAAAGATCACAGAGAGTTTTGGAGTTAAACTTAAATATAGGCTAACTGAAATCCAATAATAAAAGTAAAAGAATACTGGTGGAAAAAAAGCTTGTATATAAAAGTGTTTAGAAGAATCGCAGTGAGAAACAGAAACATAAAAATAGTTCATTCCTTTAGCAGATCATTCATGCCCTATTCTACATCTGATACAACAGATATTTTCAAATAGTGTTCTCTATTTTGTCAGATCGTATCAGTACAATATTATTATCACTGATTTAGAAAACACAATTGTATGACAATAAATCATTTTCATTTTCCTGTAAGACAGTTTTACGCTGAAGGATGAATGATAATGTTGAATTGCTGCCCATCACTGAGCCCAGGAATGATTCAAATCAGTCAGGGAGAAAAAAGAAGAATTCATTTATCAGTTCCTAGGCTATATCTTTTAATATACTGATGGGATTTCTGATGAGAAAAGGCTGCGTGGGACGGTCCATAATGGACTCATCTGAGGGGCTCTGCACATTTACATGTCTGCCAGTTGAGGCAGGGATGGCTTTTTCTAATTTTACTGACATGCTTCAATTTCCCGGACCCATCAGCACGCTCCCCACTGCCACAACAGCCCGGCGAGTCATTTCCATTTGACTTTTCTCTTATCTGCGCAAAAAAAAGCATTTTCCATCTACTAGCCGGCGGGTGTTAATGTGAAAGCCGGGTTTGAATATAATGTGGAGAGGCCACATTTAAACATTTGACCAGCGTTTGTTCTCCCGGCTGCATAT